AACAAATTTCCCCCATTTAAAAATGATATATACATGATCCTTCAAGTCACATTAATTTCAAGCACTTTGTGGAGACCAACCTTGAACTTACTTTTGTATATACAAACGCATCCAAAATAAAAGATTGGTTAGAAATAAGAATATCTCCTTTGCCGCACTACTCAATAGCCTAACATCAATATGTGATGCAGAACTCATTGCAATTCACCAAGGAATTATGATGTGTTTAGAACGTAATTTCAATAATAATGTTATACTCTCAGACTCCAAAAGTGCATTGGAAAATTTTTTAACAAGTACTATTTCAGCTTGCAGCGACTACATAAGTCTGACAATAAAACAAATAGCATATCTAGCGTCACTGAATGAGGTTCTATTCAAATTTGTTTGGATCCCCAGTCATTTTAAGATCGAGGGTAATGAAAAAGCAGATGTAATGGACAAAGTTGGTACATCTCCTAATGTTCCACTGAATATCAGGTTGAATAAAGACTGTTTGTTGTCGATTTTCAAACAACGAATAGAGGATGATTTCCATCAGGTCTGGAAGCGGGACGTGCAATTCTGAAGTAAATCGTATTACCAAGTTCATTCAGAGTACCCTAAAGATATCTGGTATCTCAACTACACTTATATGGATAGACGACATATTACCTTGATAATTCGGATGAAAACGAGGCATTGTGTACATAAAGAACACCTATTCAGGTTGAAGATTATAGATCACCCTAACTGCGATTGTGGTAGAGTACAATCGTTAAACCACATATTCTAGGAATGCCCGATCAATATGAACCCGAACAGAGGCTTGTTTCGTGCTCTCGTCTCCAAGGGCGTTGCTGTCCCTATAAGTATCACAACAATTTCATATGGTTTGAATTTTTCAAGTATTCTACACATTGTCATTTGTATTTTTTGCCTTAATGTAGTGACTATTCTCTGACATAACTTGTTCGATTAATGATCTATTTATTTTGTAGATATTCATATTGAATAGGTATAGGCATAGTATAAAGATTATTCATACTATAGGTATAGGATGAAGAAAATAACTCTTGTCTGATTTCTACTGAGTTTATTTGTTACGACCGGTTTCGGTTTATTAAGTTCACTTGAAAATGGTTTAACAAACCGAAACCGGTCTTGACAAAAAAAAACTTGTTAGGAATCAGACAAAAGTTATTTTCTTTGTCCCATATTCTCTAACATAAGTTTCAATTGTATACATTGATTCATCTAGCCGCCAGATGAGTGTCTCTTCTGTTAATGTATTCTATGGCGTTGGCAACTTTTCTTTTCTCCAACTGTGACACTGTGACGGTGTGACACGTCATTTGATGATTTTGTGTTTTGTGCCATCGTGGCTGAAAAGTACTAGAGTGGAGAGAGCAGATATTCTTCGACTTTCATTGATATTTTTGGTCCTCTGCAAGGTGCCAGCTAATCAAAATAATTATTAGTTGATATTTATATCCAAGAATAAAAGTGAGTACACTGACATATTTTTCATTACCATCATTTTAAAAAAAGATTTTACTGAAATATAGTTTCAGAAATATGGACCAAGTCACAAAATTCATTGAACCTGGAAAACAGTTCGCCAAAGACTCCATCAGATTAGTTAAAAGGTGTACTAAACCCGATAGGCGAGGTAAGAACGTTTTGAGAATTTAACTACTCTTAGTAATTACGTTTATGCAAGGCATTCTGCATTTTTTATAATTGTCTGGACATAAATTTATTTTGAACAGTTGTACTTGGAGAACTCATACAAGAAACATTTTTCAATCTGTAAAGTTTCTGATTTGAGCATTGAAGATGATTTTTACTAACTTCCATATTGCACATCCTATTTTTTCTCATATTTTGTTCAATGGTGTGTTGTACACACACACCTAGGTTTCATTTTTAAGCAAGAAAAAAGTCTATATGTAACAAAAAATTATTACTTTTAAATATTTGATAACACAATAGTTGAGCCAGTTAATGATCGTACCAACTATGCCATTAACGTAAAAATATACAGAGATATATAACCAAAAAGCAGCTCCGTATATTTGAACATTTTTATTGGAAAAAATATTGATTGTTGAAGTGAAAAGTGTCAAGGAAGGAGAAATAAGGTGTAAAGGTGACCTTAGTGAATAAATGCTTGTGTTTTTAAATAGTTTATCTTGTGAAAAAGAAGGCTGAAAACTTGCCCTTTTCTGAACTTTGAAGGGCCGTAACTTGAAAAATAAGAGAGAGTGACGCTTTTTTTCTTTCGGATTCGTATTCTATGCATCAAAATACGTAAGTATACTCAAAATTTTTTTCAAAATCGCCGGGTGCCCTCAAAACGAATATTTACCAAAGAGCTCAAGAGAAACATAAGAATCAGTTACTCAGCCTTAAAATAGGTTAACTAAATTGAAGGCATATATAGAACTATTGTGAATTTCTGAAATGGTAACATTTAAGTTAGGATATTTCTACACAGGAAATTTATTTCTATTATGTAGAACGGCCAGGGTATCAGCTTTAGTTTCAGACACAGTTTTCTTAGGATGAATTTTGCTAAATAGAGTACCACCCGAATAAGAACTTATTATAGTGAAGTAGTCACTATTTCTGAAACTACTTTGGCTGGATATAAAGATACATCAATACCATACAAAATAAACATTTTGTACCTTTTAAACTTCATTCTCAACTAGATTTAAAATTCATATTTTTTAAGCAGATCTAGGATAAGTATCCTCTGACGTTCTTGGAGTGATAAGCCTTTTTTTCATTACAATTCTCATTATTGGTCATCATAAATCCAAGGTAAATTATATTATTCCATCCTGCAGCCGGGGACGTTAATTGAGGTGTCAGATAAGATTCCAGAGATGTATTTCCATGGCTACAGATTACCTGAGAGGATCATGATAGTGATCTCTTGGTTGGTGGGTGCAGTGCTACCGTGTACCACTGGAAGGGGGTTTCCCTGAAATGTGTCGCATGTTCTCAAGCAACATATAGGGGTTGCCTACCTAACAGAGGAAGGTAGGAAAGCCGATCAGGTCCACGTAGTACCATCGTCTGTCAACCTTGAAGCAGTTAGCTCTGTTAGCAGACACATACTATGTCCCTCCTTTGCACCACACTGGATAAGGTTTTCAGCAATTGTCAGATTTCCACTCTTACCAGCTGACCTGAAAGATACCTCACCAAATTAAATTATCAGCTTTGTTGAGAAGCTGCATTTATTTGGTTGAGTTTGAATTATTGTTTGCCATAATTAACCCTCGCGGGTTGCAGTAGATACACTTACTCAGGGTCTACTTAGCTATCTACCTTTGAATTGTTGGCGAATATTCAATAGGTGAAAATGTGTGGTGGGAGCGACGTTGACCTAGATAACTAACAAACTTTCACCGTTTTCAAATGAGTTTTGGAAATCAGTGAATAGGAATTGCACATCCAATAGAATGATCAGCAAGATCACCGCACTTATAACTTTTTTTTTGAGAGGGTGTCCAAAGGGAGTTTTTTTTACCATTATGGTCATTAACTTTGTGTTCTGGACATATTTTGTTACCAACTCCTCATTTCAACTAAGGAGAATCAGGAAAATTTGTAGTTCTGACAGCCACAGCAAACCTGGGACCTTTTGGTCAAGAACCAAGAACTCTACCACTGCACCAATTCACTATTTACACCTATCTTGGTTAATTTAGTTGAAAGAGAGTTTTGAAGCGATCATATGTGACCATTGATTTTTTTTTATAGATGCGGTTGGTCTATAGGGTCAACTATTAATAGGTTGGGTACTGACAACAATTAAAATAATTTCGCAACTATTGGTCGTTGATAAATATATTTATATGGTAACATAGTAGAACACTTGGTCAAAGTTTCACTCTAAAGGTGTAAATTGTCACGGCCGGAGATGATTATGTCAAAGCTATTTTCGGGGTTTGTTTGCCATAATCAGCAGGTTTTTATAACTAACGTTTCATTATCAAAGAAGATGAGGCAATGGAGTGCTTCAGTTCTCACAGCACACACTACATCGTTCAAGGTAAGAAGGTTTGGAAATCTCTTAAGGGTTTCTTCGTTCCTATTGGTTGAATTAATGGGCCTGAAACGTGTGAAGTTTGATGTAGGTAGCTCGACATTATTTCCCTCTGTCACAGAGACAATCACCGATAGAATAAAACTGGATACCCGAACTTGAACAATGGAGTACGACTAGAGGAAGGAAACTAGAGGTACTCGTCTCATCGCCTCATCGTCTTTGATGTTGACCTTGATTGAAAATGAAACGTAAGCCAGACGAAGGCCAGCAAACCCAAAAAGAATCTTGAAAATATAGTTTTACTCATTTAAATGTAAGAGTAAAATGTATATATTTTTTTCAGAGTTCCAAAAAATTGCAATTGCTACAGCCATTGGTTTCTGCATCATGGGTTTCATTGGTTTTTTCGTGAAACTAATCCACATACCCATCAACAACATCATTGTCGGTTCATAAGTTTTCATAATTATTTATATACATGATTCATCAACGATCATACTTCATGTTAATTGTTTAGGAATAAATTATGTACTATGTTTCATAGTTTTGTATTTATGGTTTTTTATTTTCATACATCATATTGGAGTTAATAAAAAGGAGATTATTTTGTGAATGAAGTTTTCATTTTCTGATGAAAACAATTACAGTATTACTCAACTTCTCCCAAGCATTTGACATGATCAGCCACGAATTGCTTTGTGCCAAAGTATTGCCACCTTAAAATTGCTATATTTTGCGTATGCCAGATCTAAGTTAGAGTATGACTCTGTGTTATGGAATCCAGTTTACGACTACCAAAAAACATTAATTGAGAGTGTGCAAAGGAAGTTCCTACAATACTTATATCTAAACGTTGATGGTCAATACCCCATGAGAGGCATCGATCATAACGTTTTGTTGACACGATTTGATATGACATCTTTGGAAAATAGAAGAGTTATTCTTGGTATAAAATTCCTGCATTAATTACTAAACAACAATATTGACAGTACGGTTCTTTTACCCGAGATCAATTTCTTAGTACCAAGAAGTGAAGGTCGACACAATCTGAAATTCTATTGCGAAGCATCACGCACAAATGTTATGCTACGATCACCATTGAATTTTATGTGCAGTAGCTTCAATAAAATCTGTGAACACTGCGATATTCATTTCGACTCTCTGAACGCCTTGTTATCTTTTGTATCCACAATCACTTTTGATGATACTATAAATAACATTTGTGTCAGTACTGCTACATTGCATGATTTGTAAGTTTTTGTGTTATGTACTCAATGTTTCATTTCTCTTTTGAAATTCTACTTATACGACTACTTTATATATACCTACTTTGTTTTAGTATTTACTTTTATACATTTCTATATTCCATTATTTTTAATATTTATTTCATATAAACTCTCTAACCTGTAACTGGGTACTCCTGTTGGAAATTAATCGTTTATTTTTATCACGGGTTCAATATTCCATCAACATTTTTGACATGGGACTATTTTATAAGTGGATCATATTCATCCATTCTTGATGTATTCTAGGGTTTCTCGGAGGTCTATTTTGATTAGGCCCATTATATTTTATCATATACACTGCAGATATTTTAGGTAGAATGTTGTAAATAGAAGGCTTATACAGATGATACACAGTTGTATCTGAATTACAGTATACTTACAGAGTTCAGATGCAGCTATGGAAATCATTAACAATGAACTCAAAAAGGTTGAGAAATCAGCTGAAGAACACTGAAGCTGAATTCGGATAAATCGTTTCTTCCTGTACATCAAAAGTCTGCTAGGAAGAGCTTTTGCAATTGCATCAACTAAGCTCATTTGAGCTTGTTTTGAGTCACTTGAATTATTGTGACTTCATGCGAGTTCAAGAGGTAAAAAATTGTAGACTCATTTTTGGGATAAGGAAATATGAACACATTTCTCGTAAACTCATTGGCTCAACATGGAAAATAGAAGACAACTTAACTTAGTTGAAAAACTTTTGAATAATCCTGGTCTACCAGGCCTAATACGTTGTTTCACTACTCGATCTCAAATCCATTCAAAGAATGTCAGAAACAAATCTACCTTCACCATGCCTTAGCATAAAATAGCAATTTTTCAAAAGTAATTTGTTTTTTAATGCAATCCGTATGCTCAATATGTTGGAAGAGTTCAAAATGTATAACGTTAATAAATTCAAATATAAAATGAAAAAATATTACTTAACAAATAGCAAAACTCAAAAGGACAAACAAATTCTCAAACCACTCTACACCTTACATGAAAAATTTACTTCTTTTTCAAACTCTTGTCATAAGTATGCATTCTTAAATTCTGAAACAATTTTATGCACTAAATGATATTTAATATTTATTTAATCTCTTCGATAATGAAGCAGTCTACCATAATTTAATTATTTGATGTACTATATAATAAATCTCTTTTGGGGCATAATCCCCTCATCTGATGGTTGAGTAGAATAGCCTCAGCTAGACTTCACCATCAGGCTCATTATTTATTTATCATTTATTCTCGAATAAAGTCGAGTTATTTATTATAATAATGCCTTACTAATCTCCGCCATGCTCGCTTGTAAAGCCTCGAACATTTTCTTAAGCTCTTACAATTCGTCGTAATCGACACTCCTTGTTTTCACCATAAAACAGAAAATTTTCTGTGAATTATTCCACTTCCGACACCAAGTTTTTCCCCCGTGGGTTGACCAATAATTGACTACACTGAATAATCAAACTTAACTTTATTTCACTTTAAAAACAATAAACGCTACAACTAAAAATTTCAACTATTATTATCGCCTTACTAGATTACTTCGCGTACCACACTGTTACGTCCACCTCACTGTATACTTGACTGTCCGAATACGGAATCGGTAGCATGTTTCTTGCTCTTTCTCGAGTTGCAGGTAACATTGGATAGTCCCACGCTCTCAGCTACGTCACGTTTGGTTACCAGTGGCGACCGGCGTTATTTCCTTTCGGGCATGATTTACAACAATATGTTCCCGTGGATTGGGCTATCTATCGGCCAGGGGACTGGAGGCCCTGTCCGGAAAGCCAATGTGGCTTTACGGATGGGGTCGCGGGAGTCCTGGTCAGTGGCAGAAATAAGTAGGATGAAGGGAACTAAAACCCCCCAAAAGCCCTGCAAAACATGCCACCGTGGACCAGCCTACCCAAGCTGAGGTGTAAGGAATCGTGGCAACAGATGAATGGCCGCAGGGTGATATGCGGTTACGAACGATCCCCTTGAGGAACCGGGCGAAACCTCATTGTAATTAGCCTTCCTCTGGTAATGCGGGGATCTGCCAGAGGTGACCAACCCTTCCCTTGCTACTCGTGGGAATACACTTGAATACAGACAAACAAACAAGACAAGACAAAAAACAACCAATCCCGAGGCTGGACAGCAATGCCCACCTCAATTTAGGGCGGGGGCTGGGGATGAAGAGAAATGTTCACCCCAAGTTACCGCTCAGAATGAGGCTCGACATAGCAGACCACCTCGCGATGTAACACAAAGGCCAAGGCGTAAGCGTATTAACGGCGCCGAGGCCAGGAGGAGAAAGAGCGAAAAAGCAGGAATGGCAGCAACTTAAAGTGCACCCTCCCCCTCTTCCACTCCATCTTCAACAACAAAGGCACCTCTTGCGGCGGGCGCCAAGAGCTTGCCACTGCAGGAAAGCGCCCTCACGCGAGTACCTTCACGGTGGGAACCCCAAGAAGGTTGAAGAAGCTCCGCAGCGACAGTAATGTCATCCACAAGATGACATCCAGGGAAAAGGAGAGGGTGCTGGGTCGGCTGAAGGGTAAAAAAGAAAGAAGCAGAGGGTACCTCTGGAGACCCTAGGTCATTGGAAGTCGAGCCACCTTAAGTAGATATTGACCCCAAGGCCACCACAGGTCATCTGAACAGATGACAGTCGATGACCTGACGGAGGATGCACCCAAAAACAGCGAGGCCACCTACCCCCTAGTGGGGAAGCAGATGGACCTCTAAAAGTAACTTTGAATCCAACAACTGTCTCATGGGCAAGGACTTTGGAAAAAAGATAAAAATAATACAATGCAACCTCCAACACAAAAAGGCGGCAACGGCAACACTATATCGCCACCTTGATGTATTGGAGGAGACAATAGCTTTGATCCAGGAGCCCTGGATAATAAAGACCAAAATTACTGGTTTCAGTAGCCTAACTGGTCAAATTTTCAGCTTACCAAGCAATCAGCAACCTAGGACGGCTGTCTACGTTCCTAGGAAATACAGAGCCTTTCCGATGGCACAATTCAGCACCTCAGACCTCACTGCGGTTAAAGTTGAATGTCCAGTTGGAAAAAGCAAATATATGGCGTTGATACTCGCATCGGTGTACCTCCCTTCAGATGCAGCCACCCTACCACCGACAAGAGAAATGGAGGTATTAGTGGATCACTACCTCAACCAGAGAGTGGAGCTCATATTGGGTTGCGACTCAAACTCTCACCACTTGAGCTGGGGCAGCAAGGATATCAACGCTTTATAAATATATAATTAAGATAGATCTAACAATCTTGAACAGAGGCACGGAGCTGACATTTATTAACGCCCGTAGCCAAACATTAATAGATATCACGCTTACGACAGCCAAAATATCAAACAAAATCCAAGACTGGCAAGTCTCGGACCATATTTCTATGCCAGACCACCGCTGGCTGACCTATACGGTAAGCTAGGATCCCGTGACCCGAAGAGGACGGATGTAGCTCTCTACAATCGCCTCTTAAGAGGAGCTCTTAACAGTGGTCCTGACTCCTGGCAACAATGAAGAATTGGAAGGTACACGGTATCTATCCACAACAAAATAGACGTTGCCTATAAGGAATCCTGTCCGATGAGGATGGCACAACCAACACATGGTGGTGCCCTGAATTGGAACACCTCAGGAAGACAGCGAGAACGACCTTTAACAAGGCAAAACGTACAAGACTCGAAGAGGAACGGGGGAATTAACAAACCAAACCCAAAAAAATCAAAAAAAGTCTGCAGACGAAAACAAAGCCTGGAGAGCATATTGTGAGGCAGTCAAAGACTTCCCACTAGCTTCTAGGCTACAGAAGGCACTCTCAAAAGACCACCACAAGAGTATCGGCATCCTGACGAGGGAAAATGGCGACAAAGCCGCCAACCTCCAGGAGAGTGCCGAGATTCTTATGGAAACTCACTTCCCAGGTTCTGTCTTTCCTGGAACGACGAACTGGACGGATGTACCAACAACACCCTCACAATACGACTGGCAATCTGCTAGTGCAGTAATTGATGAGGACAAAATAAGATGGGCTATATCGAGCTTTTCCCTCTTCAAGTCACCAGGACCTGACGGTATTAGACCAGCCCTACTTCAGTGGGGACTGGACACCTGGTTGGAATATTCAGAGCCTCTCTAGCTCTGAGGTATATTCCCAGTAAGTGGAGAGAACTAAGAGTAGTATTCATACCCAAACCAGGTAGGATGGTCTACACCCTACCAAAAGCATTCCGACCAATTAGTCTGACATCGTTTTTCTTAAAAACCATGGAGAGGCTATGTGAGCGGTACATAAGACCACTTCATACAAATCAGCATGCTCCGGAAAGGTCAACTGATTCGGTCCTTCACCATGTTGTTGGCAGAATCGAGAGATATCATTGGACAACAAAGAATCCACCCTGGGTATATTCATAGATATCGAGGGAGCGCTTGATAAAACAACGTTTCCAATAATTACCCAGCAACTACACTCCAGAAATGGACCCCTGGTAGTAGGAGAATGGATACTCAAGATGCTCTCTAGTAAAGCAATAAGTACTAATGTAGAAGACATCACAGTGAAAGGACTGGTCATGAGGGGATGTCCATAGGGAGGGGTCTTATCACCCCGTCTCTGGAACATAGTTTTGGATACCCTGTTCCAGTTCTGGATACCTTAACAAAAATGGATTCTTCACAATTGCATACGCAGATGACATAGTTATCTTGCAGACCGGCAAATTTGTAAATACACTGTGCGATAGAGCGCAGGATGGGATCAAATTAATATAAACATGGTATAAGGAACACTCACTGTCGATCAATCCCAAGAAGACTGGTCCTTTTCACCAGGAAAAGAAGTTTAACGGGCTTAAAACCCCCAGAAATCTTCAAAAGTAAACTAAACTTCTCTGAAGAGGTGAAATACCTTGGTACTACCCTCGACAAGAAGCTAACATGGAACTCTCATCTACAGAGTAGAGCAAAAAGAGCATACGTGGCTTATGAGCAATGTCGGAAGACAGTGGGACGCGCATGGGGTCTTTCACCCCGTGTGGTCACCTGGATCTACACTGCAATAATAAGACCTATGTTAACGTATGGAGCCATTGCATGGGGACCGAAAGTTCTACAAGCAACGGCCTTCCAAAAATTATATCAAATACAGCGACTGGCTTGTTTAAACATCACAGGAGCCATGAGAACCACACCAACCGCAGCAATGGAATTAATCACGAGTCTGACCCCTCTGGATATGTATGTTAAGGAGGTTGCGTTAATGGCCATGGTACGATTGCGCACGGCTGGTGTAAACATCGAAGTAGGAATGGGTCAATTGAGGCTGGGCCTGGGGCGTGAAGCGCTTACTGCGTAACCTCTGCTGCAGGCAACAAGTGATGCAATTGAACCCAGGTTTGTGTTTAATAAACCCTACAAATCCAATCCTACAAATCCGAACAGAACTGGCTGGTATCTCAATCGCTACAAAAAAAAATTATTATGCATAATAACATTACACATCATCTAAACGTTTTGAATTTCGTCAGCACACACATGACATACATATCTGGAATGTTCTAAACAAATATATTTTTTACAAATTTTGCATTGAAAACGCGTTTTGTGATCTTTACAGAAGCTACAACGACCACTTTTATTACCCTCGACAGCTACTGGTTCCGGTACCTGGACACTGCTAATGTTTGCAGCCTTGTATCGTATTTCTCTCGTCAAATGCGAAGATGTAACTCTTTCTTTCATGTGCTCCATCCATTACCAATTGAATTCCAAGCTGTTTTAGGAATATCCTTCTCTGTTTTCCTGACGGTGATCATTACTTCATTTTAGAATAAAAGCGTTAATCGCAGACACGTTCAATAAATTATAAAAAATAACCATTCGGTACAAAGTTGATCCACTACATCAACACCACATTTTGTCGTATTTATAGAAAGTGATAATTTCCGGTTTATTATCTTTACCAGTGCTTGCATCGATGGAGTCATGGTGCAAATTAGACAGAATAATAACATGTTTGTTTTTTTTTGTTTATAGGAAACAATGGTCATATTTTCAGTAAACCCAAACATACTTGACTTCTCTGGTCTTGCAATAGAGATGAATTCTTTTGGTATTTGCCGCTTATTTTTCCGCATAGTACCAACAACCGTCAATTTATGGGCCACTAGTAAATTTTCAGCACATTCCACCGAAGTGAACCAATTGTTTGATTTCGTAATCGGTTCAACAATTATTTCAACTACATCATAGGCTGCGTTGCTCACTCTGTACGGACCTTCTGGCTGCTTACCTGCATACATTTCTAGGTTCAGAGTGTAAAACGTTCGAGCATCGGCTAATGAAAAAACTTTCAACCCATATCGGGCAGGCTTGTTGGGAATGTACATCCTGAAGCTGCAACGACCTCGAAAAGCTAGCAACATTTCATCGATGGTGGAATATTGCTCGATGGAATAACATTTCTGAACATTTTTAACAATGGCTTCAAAAACGTATCTAATGGGGGCGAGATTATCTTCTCGTTTACGTTCCTCTCTGGTATGTTTCTTGTCGAATCGTAGGCATCCTATCAAAAATCGAAATCTTCTCAAAGCCATTGTAGCGGGAAAAATGTCTATTCCAGTTCCATCAGTTGCCCAGAACTCAAAAATAGATTTTCGGCCGCTATGGTATACTCCGATCAGATATAGAGTAGACCAAACAAGGCTTTCAGCTCAGTTATTGTAATTGGTCTTACATCAAAGCTGTCTTGGTAACGGTTGGCAATCGTTTCGATATATATGTTAGTGCACTCTACAATGTTCATGGTTATAGCTGCATCAAAAAATAAGTCCCAACACTGTTTCTCCATAGAAGCATTATTTGCATCGCCAATTACTCCTGGCAGTTTGGATATAATATTGTGCTGCCTAGTTCTCACGTTTTTTGGAGGACACATTTTATTTATTCCATTTAATCTTTGGCTTCATAATATAAGTGAGCCCTTTTACCACGTGAAATGCTCTGCACAGGAATTTCATTTTTGTCTAACGGAGTAATCTCCTGCTCTGAATCGGTTTCGTGATCGCTGTGCTCACATGTTCTTTCATCTGCATAGGAATCCTCAGATTCCTCAATAATGTCTTCCTCGTCTGTAGGCACCTCATCATACAACTTCCGCAGCCAATTGATATTTTTTTCATATGGATCTGACATTTTTCAATCCAAAATGATACTATTTCACTTTTTCACCTTTACGTTTTTTTAAAATGAAAACTTACCAGAAGGAACGGGTTGGGTCTATCAGGACAAAACATGCGATGACACCTAAACAAATTACTGAACACAACTGATGTATATACTGATTGCTATTGTCCGACACGAGGAAAAGGTACCAAGTCGTGTGAAGTCGGCTGAAGTCGCGTTCGCGCACCTGGAAAATAGCTTTGGGTCCGTAGACCCGACCAGTGCACTGAAGGGTTAATGGTACTCTTTGGAACTTTCATCTATCTTACCATCACCAACTCATATTCCAAAAACAACACTAAGATATAGAAGATTGATTTATCATTGTTTTTAATGTGACCCACCATACAATTGAATATATGGCAGGTAATTTCTGTTCAGTCAGTCGATTAATATCGTTAAACCTCCCAAAGTGTAATAAAAAATCATACTTCAAAATTTTCTCCTATATCATACCTATAAGTTCTCTCTAGTGGAAATTAACTTTTCTTTACCAATTTTTCAGAACCTCACTTTTCAATATTCATTTCAACTATGAAATGTTTCCTATATTTATAGTGTTTTTTCATTCCCATCTACTACTAGCTAACATGAGCGGTCAGTTCTACTCATTGGATGAACAGTTATTGTGAATAAGAGATCGATTCTTTCTCTGGAAAGATGTGTGTTCTCTGTTCAAGATGGGTCTGATCCATGTAAATAATCGCACCTTAAAAGGTAAGACCTTGTTAATTCGTTGCTTTCTAAAAATTTATATTTTCATGGTTTGTGGTTATTATTGGGTAGGACATTCTATTTCAAACTATTTTTAATAAAACAGTTACAAAAAGAAAACATTTATTTTTCACCAATTCGGGAATAAGGCACAAAACTTGTTTGATGAAATTATATATACTACCCGTTTTAATTGTTACTGGGTAACTTCAGATTCACAACAATAAAAAAAATAGGTACCTAAATAAATTTTGAAGAAAAGTTGTGTATGTAAACGCTAATCAGAGTGTAAACCTTACATATCTTCAAGAATTGTTTCGACCTAGCCAGAAAATCAGAAAAGAATGTTTTATGTAGAGTTTCTGTTGAAAACATCGCCAGCTTCAATTCACATCTTTTTTTCAAATTCATCCATTGATAATAAAAATTTTCTGTCTGGTAAATAAAAAAGAAATCCAATTCAACATGAATTTCATTGTGTATTTTTTTTATAAAAATAGAAAGATCCATGTAAAAAATAAAGTGATGGCACGAGAATATTAAAATTCAAAGTGTGTTCTATCAAAAAGAAATTTTTCTTAAATTTATAGATGAGTGATCAATCATCTTTATCACAATTAAACTCTTTAAGTAGTTGTCTTTGAAAATTTCGAACTACAAAACATATGCTATTTCATAACAAAAACAGCACAGTTCCAAACATCAAATAGGTATTTATGTTCCAAAATATTTCCAACTTTTTTTCATAGTCTTTACTACCAAAATCCAAAAAAATTCAAATTCAACAAATAAATTTCAAGATTATTTTTATGAACATTAATTTTAAATCGGTTGGAAATATTTGCAACGCTTTTGAAAGAAGCATTATAGTTTATAAAATTAGGACAAGCATGTTCTTAAAGCGAATTATTTCAAATAATTGCCTAAGTAACTAACACAAAGTTATGAAAAATAAGCAGGGTTATCCTTGACAGGTTTATTTATAACGGTTGTGACTTATGCTTAAATTAAAATCTCTCTTTTCACGTACGAGAATAACCAGTAAAATGAGCCTATCAGAAAATGGCCTGCAAAGTATATGCACCTAAAAAATGTATTGAAGTATTCATAATCAGGGTGGACACCTAGGAAGCAAATTCTCCTCTCAGGAAATACCAGAGAAAGTAGATTTCAAACAGATTCATGATTGACTTGAAAAATGTTATATTGTAATGTAGGCCTTAATGTAACATATATAACAGCGACAAATAGTTCATTCATCATGGATTGCGCCCCTTATACAGTTTTCATTTCATTTGATGCACATAAATTTTCATTTAATATCGATATTCTTTATATTTTCCCCTTCAGGAATACAACCTGAATATGTTACTGTTGACAATTGTCAACAATCACAACCCATGCAAGCAAATGTATAAATATTTATTTATTGTTGACTGGTTGCAAAGATCAAAATATTTGTATGTATGGTTTTAATGATTGAAGGGTTAGATACCTCGTACACAACTTTTTCATTGGATGTTGAGAATACTGGTACTTTTATACCTACAATTCTCAAAGAAACCTCAATACATCTTTTTATCTATAATCTACATCTAAAACAGAGGTAAGTGTAAAAAGGTACAAGAAACTAAACCTAGCAAAATAGAAAAATATGAACTAAAAACAATATTAAAATATTTCAAACTTGCATGAATAAAAGGAAAAAATAAAAATTTGGCAGTAACACATATACAAAAAAGTATTAAAAAACATTTAATTATTAAAGAAAATAAGAAATACTATACTTTCTATTCTGTGGAATGCGTAATATGCACCAATATTCATTAATTGTAATAGTAACAAAACAAGTTTTATATATTTATAAAATCCTTAACATCAGTAGACTCCATATCAGATCTGGTAACATGTAACAAATGAGGTGAATTACTAAACAATAACTAACAAACTACTAGTAAATCTTAGAAGTGGTGATAGTATAAAAGATATTGCATCCTTTAGGTGGCATTAAATACAAATTAACCTATACTTATGTGAAAAATGTAGCTATTTTTATTGTATAACTCAATTTCCAAGTTCAGAAGCTTGGAAAAATATATATAGTGTGTCCCAGCTAAAACTTGTCAACCTCTTTATCTGCGAACTCGTGAAAAAAATTTTGAAAGTCGCTCAGACCCGTCGATTTTTATTTCAAGTAGGAATACTTTCACCAAATACATCATTATTGAGTTGTCAACTCCCTTATCCCCAGCACTCCCTACTTCAGAATTTTCAATTGGACTATTAAACTTGTGATACATCATTTTGAAGGGAACTAAATCGCAAATACATCGATGTACTGAAATTGAGGATTGATCAAGTGTTGTTGAAGTTTTAATGGAAGCTAAGTTTTACCAAGATATTTTTATTTTTCATCTCCTGAAATGTTATCATCGTAAGAAAGGTTCACTGTATTGAAGAATAATATGCTTTCAGAAATTATAGTTTAGAAGATGAGACAGACATTTTCATGAAAAAAAAAATTGTCGCCATGTGTTTTTGTATATGCATATATTTGTTTAAGCCTTGGTATATTGATGTATTCGATTAACTTCATTTAACAATTTGAAAACTTTCAAAAATGGTTTATACTATTAAAGAGAGAATATCCGTTGTAGCTGCGTATTTTGAAAATGGACGATGTGCTAGAGCTACGGCTCGAATTTTCAATGAAATTCACCCTGAAAAAACCACATCATATCATTACGTGATTCAATTGATGAATAAGTTCATGGAGTCGGGATCAGTCCTGAATAAAAAACATGAACGAGATAAGCCTATGAAAAATGAAGGGGTCACTGTTGCAGTTGTAGGACATGCAGTGATGGACAACATTCAATCTTCAAGACAACTTGAGACTATTTCTGGAGTTTCTAAAAGCAGCGTACCTCGAATTCTGGAAGAAGCAAAATTCCATCCTTATAAAATGCAGAACGTACAAGAATTAAATGAAGATGATCCTGACAGACGTACAGTTTTGTTAAATCATGAGTCAATTATGAATTGGCGATAATAATTACCTCTAGAATGTGAGCTTTTCTGACCAATTCTTTCTTTATTTGAATTGACATGTGAACAGGCACAACTGCAGATAGTGGAGTGACGTAATTCCCCATTGGTACAGGGAAACTCATTCACAAACCCCCCCAAAAATTGAATGTTTAGGCTGGTATTCTGGGAGACCATATTGTAGGTCAATATTTCACTGATGATAAATAACCTCGACGGACAAACAAACATATCTTGAACTTCTTGATACAACTGTGAACCCCAGAATCACTCAGTAACTTGAAATCGATGATAGTCTATGTGAAGGTCAGGTCACCCTTCAACAAGATGGAGCTCCTCCACATTTTGTTGCGCCTGTATTTCAATTTTTAGATGACAATTTCACAGGGAGATAGATTGGAAGGCGAGGACCAATAGAAAATGGCCAGCCAGATCCCCTGATTCAGCACCATTAGTCTTATTTTTATGGATCACAAGTATAGTAGTACGTACCATTGAAAATTCTGAAGTAGGGAGTGCTGGGGATAAGGGGGTTGACAACTCAATAATGATGTATTTGGTGAAAGTATTCCTACTTGAAATAAAAATCGACGAGTCTAAGCGATTTTTAATTTTTTCACGAGTTCGCAGATTGGGGGGTGACAAGTTTTTGCTGGGACACACTGTATAATCTCTAGAGATATATAAATTGTTTCAGTTTCCATCTTTCAACAACACATAAATAATGGCGCTGAGAATAATTTCCCTTGGGAAGATTCTGGAATCATTGAGATTATGACTTTGTATAGTACCTGCTGAAGAAATTCTCAATTATACACAAGATGAACACAAAATCAATAATCATTTGTATAATATTCATAACTTTGATGAAGTAGAAATCTTGAAAATGAAATCCACAAGCAAAAATTTGAGTAGAAGACTTTAATGAGAAACAAAGAAAAAGTTTTAAAAAAAGTCTTATCGCATAATTATTGAAAATAAAAGGATAGTTTCAATTGATTGACATATAACATTGAATATGTAATAAGCCCGAAATGACATTGCTTACTATTTTTTTGGTGTTTGCCTTATTCGTTATTCCATCCAAGTATCAATCATGCCTAATATCCACCAATATGAAAAACGAATAGGTATTGTGAAGGGATTGATAAAAATGTATTCAGCCACCTACTATAACAGCAATGAAATTATCTTAATGATGCACAAATAAATAGTATCGATTTATAAAAATATAAAGAGAACAATCTCTGAGTGATGTCCTAACGCAATAAAAAAATATCTAAAAATACGTATAAAATACAAGTGAACAATCACGCCATACAGCCATTGTCAATTCCTGTGCTGTTGTAGTTTCCGTTTCCAGAATAATTGTGGCAGGGTGAGCTGTAAGGGTAACTTTCAAGATTCGTGAACTGACTGAGTTCGTAGTCTTCATTCACCTCTTCTATTACGATGCTGGGCGGTTTGCAGAATCCGGACCTGGTATATGTAAGGTTATTAGAGACCGAGACATTAGCTGACCTAGAAGAGAATGATTCTTGGTTGTTATTCCTGAAGCTAGAATCAACTGAAGGCGGCCTACTATAGGAATGGGTTTCCATGACGGACGATACTGGAGGAAGCCTATAGAGGAGATCGCGGGTGGCAGGACCGATGTTGTGCTGGCAATGTGGTCGATGAATAGACAGCATATCCATTAGAGATTGTTTTTGACCCTGCAGTTCTTGGAGTTGGGTTTTCAATTCGATGTTTTGAGTTTCTAAGGTTTCAGACTCGTGGATCAGGTTGGCGGTTCGTTCCCTCTTCTTCAAGCGGCATTTAGTCGCTGCGATTTTGTTTCGTTCTCGTCTACGCCTTCTTCGTTCTTCATCTTCGGGTGTCAACTGCAAAGAGAAAAACGATTAAGTTTTTTGTTATTGGGGTTTTGTTTCTTTAAATTGGCACTTCATTGAAAAATAATAAACACGAGTAATGATTAAGGTCCGATGCGGTAAGCGACTCATTTTTCTTGAAAGAGCGAGTGCGCCAGTAAATAACCATGATAAAGTGAATTGTATGTGTATTATAATACACGGGCTGTCTTTTTCAAATGAACCACATTTGAGAACGCTTCTTTTATTTTTGAAAATATAAAAAAATTAAACAGGAATTTTCATGCACCATAGAGGACTGGTAAGGGAGGCAATAGGGATCCTCAAACACACAGATAATTTCAACAGAAAAAAAAGCTGTGAATCTCAACCAAACATGAAATCTCATTCTAGGAAGTTCAAGAATACCAAACAGCATGACGGTAGGTACAAAAGGGCCGACGAATGTTATGGACAATTCACCTAATCCAGGTACAGGTATTAGCACACCAAACCGTCTGAGTCAACATAAACACGCTTTACGCAATTAACCTAATTCAGCACACCAAAATACCTGTGTTCAACATAAATACGTTTTACGCAGGCGTAATATCCACTCATCGGAGATAACTAAGAAAGTATAAACCTCTGAAGAAGCTACCCAGCGAAATGTCAGGAAAAAATTCCAAAAATCGATGTCCTTTAAACCCGAAAAGTAGTGACACTGAATTAGTCCGTTTCTTATAAGTTGATTATACTCAAGTACAGGTTACGGATACAGGTACGGTACAGGTTACGGATACAATATTGGTGCATTCTTCATAATTTATCAATCATGTCAGGCTTAGGCACTAAAAGATGAAGGGAGAAAACGGGAATCCGATTCAGAAAAAAATGTGAGTTTATTCAATCAAAGTATAGTAAAGTAAATAGCCGCAGTGTCAGTGACTTTGAGTGGGGTTTTAATACGACGACCTAGACATTTTTTATATCACTTTTGAATGTTAGTTATAGAGTTTCATCAAGTATCGGAAAATTTCATCATATATATCACTTTTGAGTCTTTTTTTAAAATTTTTTATTTTGTTGTTTAATGTTTCAAAAAAGTAGGTAAGTAACAATTTTAGTAAGAGTTTCTTGATTAATAAAAATTTGTTTAAGTTCAAGTGTTTTTTCTTCATTTCATTGACCTGTCTTCTTGCACCATCAGAGGGCCTCGCGAAGTGTACCTTGCTCACATTCAATTTAGGTCTTGCGCCGCCCTTGAATTCAGTGTTACTATGGTTCCATACTAAGAAGATGTCGCCAACATATCCCAACCAAACTCAGAGCTTCAAACCAATCCATTTATATGTTGGCTATGATTTAATGAAAGTGACGATCCCATTAGCACTCCACGTCTTGCGTGGAGAATTATTTCCTCAGTCAGGAAATAACAGTCCTCCAATTCTGTATTGATAATCTAGGATAACTTTTTTGTTCATAGCAGTCCAATGAAATCGATACTTTCTATTTTTTTAGCGGGTTCAGTACGCTACAACACGTAAGGCTACAGCACATAAAGCAACACAAAAACTTCATTCAACTTCAAGCCACCGTGTTTTGACTCAGGACATACGCTGGAATTGCTGAACCTGTCAACAACAATCGAATGAATAAGGCCCCATATTTAGGCCTTCACATGATATTTTTGCAGAACATTCCAACTAGGAGCAACAATACTGATAACTCCGTTCAGTTTATGCGTAATCATTGAATATGTTCTAGATACTTTGAACATCTGATCACCTTTGAAGAAATTCAAAAATTGTGATTAAGCTAATCCGCATGTAAACATATTGATAGATATGGATTAGATAACAGAGGAGCATGTGGTTTTTCCCAAATGTATAAGAAATTGAGTGTTTCTGAAACATCTAATTAATTAAAATGAGTATTTAAACACTTTAAAATGATAGTATCTGTTTGATTACAATTTCTCCCGCTTGAACAAGAAATTGCATAGCGGAGTTTTTTGTAAAACCATTATAGTGAAAATTTTGAAGTAATTTGTATCAGTTAGTGTTTATATGGATTCATTAAATAATTGAAATATGCTAGAGTAGTTACATTCAGTGTCAAAAGCCCCACAAGAAAAAGTCACTAATATTAGCTACATTGAAAATATAAAATGATGATCCAAATGAATAAACAGAACATTATAATAAAAAACAGGAAACATTCATGGACGAAGCACCCTGAAAATATGCAAACCGTAGACACGTGTTTCTGGCACATTAGCTATCTTTAGTAAGGTAAAGCCAAATGCAAAGTTAGGAATACTGCAGGCCAAATGGGTTTACATAACAGGCACCTAGAAAAGTTCAATGTAGTAAAAATAAACTTGAGATTTATTCTTTCTTAGAGGTTCCAGTACAACCTATCAATTAAGAAATGGCACAATTCCAAACGAATCTATCACAAGAAAATTCAGCAGATAAATGTAATCAATATGTATTCGAATTAGATGTTCATTTGTAATTTTATGTAGGAATGTGGCGTTCAACAAAGTTCCGACATTTCCTGTGAAAATTCATGAGTTGTTTAAAGAATCGCAATAATATTTCAGCCTACAAGGTTGAAGTCATAAACTCGATTGATAGTTACTCCAGGTATGCTTATTGGCGTTTTATTAGCACTAGTAATTTCGACTGCAATTATATACTCGTAAAAAAGATAATGGAATAACTATGTTTTCTACCAAAGATGTATTATTTGATTTTAATCGAACATTGTACAAAAAACCTCAGTGAGTTTCATAATAATTATGACTGTTCAGTAGGTAATGTGAATGTCATAATTTGAATGCATGAGTACCTAATTCCACTGACATCGATAAAGATAAATGACATCATGTAGGACTTATTTTTGATGAAAGAATGATAACGTTTAATAAGATTATGTATAATTCCACAAATATTTTTCATGCAATATTTTTTTCTTGCTGTTTCAAAAGAATAGTGGAATTTCTGAAATCCTGTTCGTTGAAGTTCGGTGGATTTCTGGAATATTTTGTAGTTGTTTACATTAATGACGATACAACTCGGCTACGTGATTTATATCATATTATCTAGTCTAATTCAGCAGCTGAAATTCGTGTTCAATAGACATAAAAGTCCTATAAAACATGACTGACAGCTCATTGGATTGATGTTGAAGTTTACAAAAATGTATGTTAATTATTTCACAGAACCCAAAAAATTGAAACCGTTCAATAAGCATTTCCATTATCTAACCAGCATTTTATCATTTTTGGAAATCTTATCAGTTATTTTAAAGTAATTAACAGATTTTCATTGATTTAAAGAATATAATAACAAACGATAAATGTCATAATTCCAAATTGAAGACTCACTCCAGTTTATTCCATTAGATGTTTAAAAATGTTTACCATTCATTTTCCGACAATAATGAAGTCTACTTATGATTTTACTTCTTACTTTATTTATTTATTTATTTGTAATACATTACTCTACAGGACATAGCCCAATTACAGATCAGGAAATAACAGAGATAAATGGGTAAAGAGAAGACCAAGTTTATATTTTCATAGTGTGAGATTCAAATTACATTCAAATTACTCTCTGATCATTATCAACATTACAGTGAGTCACTTCTTTTTTTCATCTGAAACATTTATAATTGACGTTTCGGAAACATTGCGGCAAGTGGCAAGGAAATTTAATTGCAACTTTTAAAATGTTGCTCGTTAAAAATTCAGTACGACAATATTTCTGTTGAGGGGGATTTAGAAATGCTTTCATGGTGTTGAAAGAAGGTGAAATAAAAATAATTTAGTTACTTGGGGCAGGGAAAAGTGAATGTTGTTCTCATTATTTTCAGTTCTGTGTTATCTTCACTTCATTCAACTCACACCCACCTTGTTTCCCTGTGACCTGTTAGTCAAGAATGATATTTGGGTTAGTTTTGAGTTTTAGGGTTCATGCAAAGATCACTGTCACAACATGTAATTTATATATGAATGCTGCAGTACAGTAAAAAAGTGAGGTATGGATTTGAGGTAGAAAAGACAGCGCAATTAACTTTTTATATTGCAGATTTCGATTTCTGTATTGTATTTATTGGATATACCGGTGACGGTACTGAATAGGTTTGAGCTTTCATGCCTCTCTCTCGTTGAACAGTTGAATGATCATATGTTCGAGACGACTGTACCAACAAATAATTAAACAATCGCTAATCGAATGTACGTAGCCCGCGAAATTTGACAATCACCTTATTTTCTGAGCAGTCCACGTATATTGAGAATTTTGGACTTATTTTAGGCTCCTGTCACCTACATCGCTACATTACATAAGTTGTTTTTTTCAAAGAAGTAGGTTTTGCTAGCTTTTCCGCTGACAAAACCAAATCGGGATACTTACTTTATGTAAAATCTCTACTTGCCATCATTTTAGGCTGCTTCGTCACGATATAGAACATTTTTGACTGAAATATCTGGGTAAACACTTCAGACAAACTTGGTAAATCGATGGTGGAAGGGAATAGAAGCCTGAAGTTCTCAGTAGATGTATCTCCCTCATTAAAAGAATATTTTCCCTTGTGATGTGATGCACCTTTGGTGTAGTAATAAATATTACTGAAGTTTCATCCCAACTCCAAACCGGTATTTTAACACCTCAACACGTGTTTCGATCACCAACTGATCATCTTCAAAAGGAAGATTAAACTAAACATACATACAATGTTGTCCTTACTTATACCATAGATACCTCTGCTCTGCTGCTAGGTATCTGCGTCTTAATTGTCTCAAATTGATTTTACAATGTGTCCTTATGTAATATTCAGGTAAATCTGATAATAAAAATATTATTTCAACAAATTATACAGGTGTTCCTTAAACACATGCTAATATTTAAGGAGGTAATTCTCAGACCCATTTTAAGAAAAAAAACTTTCTATGGACGTATGTCCTAAACGCCTTAACTTTTGAGATACAGGGTGGCAAAGTTTTCAAAAATAATCAGTTTTTT